AGTAAGTTCAAATTCTACTGACAGTAAAAATTTGAATAATCGCCTATGTAATATATAGACAGTATTACAATGATAGCATTTTGTCGATCAGTTGGAATAAGATATCTGTAATACAGTTGCACTAGCATGACTGGAAGGTTATAGAGCATCTGCACAAGTTAGAGTTATACAAAAAAATGCAAACTGATATTGAGAAGTGCAAACACAAGATAAGTTTTTATAGTTGTGTAAACTTGTAAACTGAAAAGTCAGAGCCCACTTGGGAAGACCTGAGTAGAAAGGTAGCACAGATCTTTGACAGTACTATTGTAAAGGCTAAATCTAGGAAATAAATACTAATATAAAAGAAATTAGAAAGCAAGAACCTCAGATGAAAAATACCATCAACCAGGTTGCCAAAAGTTTTAAACCAAAGAAAAAGAACCTTAGAGAAAGATCCTAGAGTACTAGAAACAAGTCATAGTCCTATTAGGCTATCTGAATTGGGAGTCTGAAGTCAGAAGCAGGGTATACTACAAGTATTAGAGTTATGCTGTGAAGTTAGTACTGGAGTTTAGGTGAACTTTACAAGAGTGAGCCCTGTTAGCAAAGATTAAATATAGTTAGTTAGTTAGCAAAAAGGCTTTCTAAAACCTTATAGTCAAGTGACATATTTTGAAATATATAACAGCTTAATGGATATACAGACAAGAAGGTCAGAATTAGGTTAGACAGCATCTAATTAGATATACAAAAACTTAAGTACTATCTGCTAATGTAGTATAGAGATAACCTTGTACAAGTTATATAATCATAATTGAATTTTAATAAAGGCAGTAGTCACCAATAACTAATGGCCTTAGTGAAAACAAAAAAAAAAAATTAAATAAAAATTTTAAAGCTTCTATTTAAAAATGTTATTTAAGATTTTTTAAGATTTTATATATTTCTGAAGCTAAAAAAAAATTTTTACACTTTGTACAAGTTTAAATTTTTATAAGTAAATTGCAAAAGTATTATTAATAAAAATTGTTATTTTTTATATAAACTAAAGTATTGTATTAAGAACTATAGGCTTAAAATTAATATTTAAAGAGTTTATTAAAAATTTGTAAATAATTATTATAGCTAAAACTGAAAATAGCTGAAGCTGAAATCATATGATGATCAATGATTATTTGTATTTGTTGAATAGAGTAAACAGGATGTGTCAGACATATGTCAAATAAGATGCATCTATGTATATTCTTGTTAAATAAAATGCATCATATATTGTATCTATTTATAGTTAATGCATCTCAGTTTTTAAAATATGCTTATTAATAAACTTATTTGAAGTTTATATATATGAGTAAAAAGTTAAAGAGTTATCATTTCTAAAAAAGTTTAATAGTCTTTATGGTTCTTTTAGTTTTTTTTGAATATTCTGAAACTTAATTCTAAAAAAATCATGAAGACTACTAATTTTTTATAAGTAAAACCTAAATGCATTAAATTTCAGCTTAAAAACAAAAAAAAAAAATATATAATAGTCTTACTATTATGCTTAAGGCTTTTTTAGTTTTATAATCATATTTACTTATTATTAGAAATTTGAGTATACTAAAATTCAAGACTTGTTAAGAATTAATAGTATAAATCTGCCTAAATGTAAGAAATCCAAGTGTCATGCATAAAAAAAAAAAAAAAAGTATGTATTTTGTTATTAGTTTTTGTAATTCTTTTGGTTTTCATAACTATGTATTTATTTTAAATTTATTACTATAAGAAGCCTATCTATGATGAATTTAAGTACCAAGTATTAAAAAAAAAGATTGTAATTTGACTATTAATTTTTTGTAATTCTTTTAATAGTTACACACTTACCTGAATTTATTACAGAATGTCCAAATGTAAGTGCAAAATATAAAAAAAAAGTATTTCTTTTGACTTTTAGCTTTTGTAGTTTTTTTAATTTTCACAACTATGTAACTTATCTTGAGCTTGCTATCACAAATAGCTTGTATATAAGGAATAAATAACAAGTATTAAAAAAAAAAAAAGGTTCATGTTTTGATTATTAGCCTTCATGGTTCTTTTAGTTTTCATAGCTGCATATTTATCTAAATTTATTAATATGTACAAATGCAAGTGCAAAGTGTAAAAAAAAAAAAATATGTATTTTGACTATTAGCTTTTGTAGTTGTTTTAGTTTTTATAACTTATCTTAAGCTCATTATTACAGCTAGTCTGTATATAAGAAATTGAGTAATAAGCATTAAAAAAAAAAAAAAAAGTTCATGTTTTGTTATTAGATTTCATGATTTTTTTAGTTTTTATAACTATATTCTTATTTAAATTTATTAGTATACACAAATGCAAGTGCCAAGTGTTAAAAAAAAAAAAAGCACATATTTTGATTATTAGCTTTCATGGTTCTTTTAGTTTTATTATTATGTAACTTATTTGAGCTTATTATTACAAGTAGCTTGTATATAAAGGATTTATATTAAAAAAAAAAAGACATGTTGTTATTAGTTTTTGTAGTTCTTTTTGTTTTTATAACTATATACTTATCTGAATTTACTAGAGTACCCAAATATAAATGCCAAGCATTAAAAAAAAAGCATATATTTTGATTATTAGCTTTTATGATTTCTTTAGTTTTTATGTATAGTTTATCTTAAGCTTATTACTATAGTTTTTTTTAGTTTTTATAGTTACATTCTTATCTGAATTTATTAGAATGCCCTAATACAAGTTCTAAGCATTAAAAAAAAAAAATATGTATTTTGATTATTAGCTTTCATGGTCTCTTTAGTTTTCATAACTATATAGTTTATTTTAAGCTCATTACTACAAATAGTCTGTATATAAGAAATAAATGAAAAAAAAGGTGTGTTTTAATTATTAGCTTTTATAGTTCTTTTAGTTTTCATAGCTATATACTTATCTAAATTTATTAGTATGTCTGAATGCCAAGCATAAAAAAAAAAAAGCATATATTTTGACTATTAACTTTTGTAATTGCTTTAGTTTTTATAACTTATCTTAAGTTCATTATTACAGATAGCCTATATATGAGGAATCAAGTGACAAGTATTAAAAAAAAAAAAGGTTTGTATTTTGTTATTAGCTTTCATAGTTCTTTTAGTTTTTATAACTATATTTTTACTCAAATTTATTAGAATATCCTAATACAAGTGCCAAGTATTAAAAAAAAAAACTATATATTTTGATTATTAGCTTTTGTGATTCTTTTAGTTCTCATAACTATATAGTTTATCTTGAGCTCATTATTACAGATAGCCTATATATGAGAAATAAGTAAAAAAAAAGGTTCATATTTTAATTATTAGTCTTTATAGTTCTTTTAGTTTTCATAGCTGTATACTTATTCAAATTTATTAGTATGCCCGAATGCCAAGCATAACAAAAAAAAAATAAAGTATGTATTTTAACTATTAGTTTTTGTAGTTGTTTTAGTTTTTATAACTTATCTTAAGCTCATTACTACAGATAGCCTATATGTAAATAATAAAATAATAAATATTAAAAAAAGGTTTATATTTTGTTAGCTTTCATAATTCTTTTAGTTTTCATAACTGCATTCTTATCCAAATGTATTAGAATACTCTAATGCAAGTGCCAAGCATTAAATCAAAAAAAAGCATGTATTTTGACTATTAGCTTTTGTAGTTCTTTTAGTTTTATTATTATGTAACTTCTTTTGAGCTTATTACTATAGATAGCCTATATATAAAGAATTTATATTAAAAAAAAAAAGATTCATGTTGTTATTAGCTTTTGTAGTTCTCATAGCTGCATACTTATCTAAATTTACTAGAGTGTCCAAATGCAAATGTCAAGTATTAAAAAAAAAAAGCATATATTTTGTTTATTAGCTTTTATAGTTCTTTTAGTTTTTATAATCATGTAATTTATTCTAAGCTTATTATTACAGATAGCTTGTACTTGAGAAATCAAGTGACAAGCATTAAAAAAAAAAAAAAAAAAAAGAGGTTTATATTTTGTTATTAGCTTTCATAATTCTTTTAGTTTTCATAGCTGCATATTTATTAAAGTGCCCAAATACAAGTTTTTTTAGTTTTATAGAATAAAAAGATAATTTATTTTAAGCAAAAAGCCTGTATATAAGATTAGTTTTTATGTTGAAGCTTGAACCAATTTTATTATTCATATGGTAAATTCAGTTTTAATCAGTTTTAATATATGAAAAATAAAATCTATTTATAGTTCTTTTAGTTTTTATAATATTATCTTATTACAAGTATTTTTTTAAAGTGTTTTTTTTTTTTTATAATTTTTAGAATAGTGCACTTACATAAATGCAATAAAAAAAATCTGAATGTGAGATTATAAATTTGTAAAATTTTAAAACAAAAAGAAAAGAAAATTATTTCTTATATATTGTATAAAAAAAAAATTAAAAAAAATATATTCAAAGAAAAAATATATATATATATATTTTTTTTTTAAAAAAACAAAAAAAAATTACAATTTTAAAACTTAGATCCATTCCATTGGAACAGGTATGTCCTTTCTATTAATTTCAATAATAGCTATATGATTATTTGCTATTAGCTTTTTAAAGACACTTTGTTGTGAAAATGTTGGTTATAATTTTTTTTTTGAGTTTGCAGATTATTGTTATAGTTCAGTATAATGTTAACTGTAGCTTCTAATTCAATTGTATTATATTTATTTTTTTTCTGTAAACACTTCCTTGTTGACAAAGTTTTGTGTAATATTTTTTTAGTACAGAATTTACAAACTAATAAAAAATGAAATAAAAATTTTAATTTATACTACTTAACTTTATACTATTTAGCCCTAAACTGAGTCTTTATTATTTTTTTAACAACTATTTTCCTAACAAATGAAATCTCAAAATTGATCAGAACTAACCTTAATCCTAACTTAACCTAATATGGATTAACTTATAACTCTAGCTCTAACTCTAACTTTAACTTTAACTTTACCTCTAATCCTAATCTAATATAAACTAACTTGTAATATTGTCAGAAAACATTGTCAGAAATCTGTTCTAAACTAACCTCTTGAATTTGTATTACATATAATACATGTTGATTTGCAACTATTTCTGCTTTTTCTACTTTTTCTATTTTCTTTGTTTTCTCTGCTTTTTTTGCTTTTTTTGCTTCTTCTATTTTAGCTTTATTTGCCTTATCTGCTTCAGCTTTATTTGCCTTATTTGCTTTTAAAATATCTACATTTATTTTCAGATAATTTGCATCTATTTCATTATCTTGATTAGTATTAGGTGTTTTATAAATACAATGCATTTTTTAGCCAAACATAACTTCATAAGATGTATGTTTATATGCTATATGCATGGTCAAATTATAAGACATTATGAAAGCATCTAGTACATTAATACAATTTTTTTTTGAAGTTGATTATTTTTATCTTATAGCAATTTCATGAAACTGTAGCCAATAGAATAGATTTGGATATTTTTTTTAATTAGAGATACTCAACAATATTTTTATATTTAGTTAAAGTTCTAGAAAGTTTTGGAATTGCTAGCATAATTAAGTTTGAAAGGAAAAATTAATAAAAAATAAAATTATTTATAGGTAATTAATATGTACAAATTAAATAAACAAATCACATAACACAGTTAGAGTTATTATATGTAAATCAAATAAACAAATTATATAACATAGTTAGAGTTATTATGTGTAAACCAAATAAACAAATTACATATATACCTAATATTAGGGTTAAAGTTAGAGTTGACATGTTTGCTAGTTAGGGTTAGAATAGAATAGGGTTTAGAAAATAGCTTTCAAATTTATCTTTGTTTCTTATATTAACTAAAATGCAATCCTTTAGTATTTTTTTAACATATTCAAAACATAAACTACTAACCTTTTTTTACTTAATTTTACAGATTTGAACATTGTAATTAAGTACAAAATAAAGAAAATGAATTATAAAAATTAATTTATAAAAGCTAATAATCAAAACACAACCCTTTTTTTTTTTTAATACTTAGTATTTGAATTTATTACATATAGGCTATTTGTAGTAATAAGCTTAAAGTAATTACACTATTATGAAAACTAAAAAAACTACAAAAGCTAATAATTAAAATACATACTTTTTTTTTTATACTTAACACTTGCATTCAGGTACTTTAATAAATTCAGATAAGTATACAGCTATAAAAACTAAATAAATTATAAATCTTGAAAACTAATAATTAAAACAAAAAATTTTTTTTTTTAATGTGAATTCTTCATATACAAGCTATCTGTAGTAATAAACTCAAAATAAGTTATATGATAATAAAACTAAAAGAACCATGAAAGCTAATAGTCAAAATACATAATTTTTTTTTTAATGCTTAGCATTTGTGTTTGAGCACTGTAATAAATTCAGATAAGTATGCAGTTATGAAAACTAAAAGAATTATAAAAGCTAATAATTAAAACAAACCTTTTTTTTTTAATGCTTAGTACTTGAATTTATTACTTAAAGGCTATCTGTAGTAATGTGCTTAAGATAAGTTATATGATTATAAAAACTAAAGGATCACAAAAGCTAATATTTAAAGTACATACTGGTACTCCTTTTTTTAATACTTGGTACTAGCATTTGGACACTCTGTAATAAATTCAGATAAGTATGCAGCTATAAAAAATAAATAAACTATGAAAGCTAATAATTATAATGTATACTTTTTTTTTTAATTTGATTTTTTATATACAGGTTTTTGACAGTAATAAGCTCAAGACAAGTTACATGATTATAAAAACTAAAAGAATATGAAAGCTAATAGTCTTGCAAACAATAAAAGTAAAAAAGTGTAAAAATAGAGAATAAAGTTGAAGATAAAGATTATTATAGTAAAGGTAAGAAATTAACTGCCTAGAAGACATTTTTAAAGAAAGTGACTAAGTATCAAAAAAAATACTTTTTTTATATCTAGTATTCTGTAATAAATTCAGATAAATATATGAATATAAAAACTAAAAGAAACATAAAAGCTAATAATCAGACTACAAATCTTTTTGTATTTTTTTTTTTTTTTAATGCTTAGCACTTAAATTCTTTATATATAGACTATTTGTAGTAATAAGTTCAAAATAAGTTATATGGTTATGAAAACTAAAAGAACCATGAAAGCTAATAATTAAAATTTATACTTTTTTAATGCTTAGCACTTGGGCATTTTGTAATAAATTCAGATAAATATGCTGCTATAAAACTAAAGAACTATGATGGCTAATAATCAAAATGCAAATCTTTTTTTTTAATGCTTTTTACTTGAATTCTTCATATACAGAAATAAGTTTAAGTAACACAATTATAAAAACTAAAAAAAACTACAAAAGCTAATAGTCAAAAAAAATATAAATTTAGATAAGTATATGACTATGAAAACTAAAAAAACTATGAAAGCTAATAATCAAAACACAAACTTTTTTTTTTAATACTTGTCACTTAATTCTCTACATACAAGCTTTTGACAGTAATGTGTTTATTAATGCTTGGCATTTGCATTCAAGCACTTTGTAATAATTTCAAATAAGTATGCAATTATAAAACTTAAAGATTTATAAATACTAATAACTAACACAACCTGTTTTTTTTTTTTATACTTATCTCTTAAATTCCTTATATACAGGCTTTCTGTAGTAATATAAAACTAAAAAACCATAGCCAGATTACTAATCTTTTTTTGTTTTATTGGCATTTGAATTTCTTCTATTTTTAATATAAGTACTTAAATATGAACAACAACTACTTTTTTTTTCTTTAACTTAACATATTACAAAATTTAAAAAATAAGTTTTTTTTTTTTAAAAGCCAATAGCCCTAATTTTTTACTTTTTATTAAATATTCAAAAAAACAGTTGCTAATAAAAAAGATCAATAGAACTAGTAGTCTTACAAATAATAAAATCTAAAAGAACTACAAGACTACTATCTTCTTTAGAAATAGGAGATAGTTGTTATCTATAACTTGGATATCGTGTTCTAAATAGATTAATGACACACCTCATTTAACAAAACTATATATATAATACACCTTATTTGACTTATGTTCAATGCATCTTGTTTACTCCATTTAGCAAATGCAGATGATCATTAATCATTATGTAATTTCCAACTTTAGCCATGACAATAATTAACTCAAAGCTTCTTTTCAAGAATTTTGTTTTTATTATTTAAACTATAAAAAAGCCAATTCCCACATCGCATCAATTTCCCTCCCAAGCAAAGCCTTTCTAAATTGTAAAAACATTAAAATGACAACTTCTTTGTTGTTATATATATTACTATTATTAACAGCTATCCAGAAATTAGTTAAAAAGTAAAATAATTATTCTAAAACCTCTTGTGCCTCTTTATTTATATAAAATTATAAAAATAGTATGATTTTATCATTGTAAACTTAAAAAACTTTCAAGTTAAAAATAATTAAATAAATCATAAAAACTTACTAAACTTACTAAATTTAACAAAAATATTGCAAAAAAAAACTCTAATTGCAATATTTAAACTTTTTATCTTATCTTTTTCACTAAAATATTAATACAACTCAACAAAAATTCTACTATTTTACTTACTAATATCATCTTTGAATTATATACTTATAGAAATAAAATAAATCAAAATTTATCAAATATCTTTACTAATTTTAATATCTTTGAATTATTACTTCTTTCTTATAAAATTAATAATTTTTAATATCAATATTTAACTTTAAACTTCATCATCTCATACATCAGTTTCAAAAAAAATCTTAACAGATTGTCCAAATATTTCTTGTACATATTGTTTAATTCTTATATCAAACTTTTCTATACAATGAGTTAACTATATTAAAGATCATCTGTATACCATATTATAAGCTTTTTTGCTTCTTGTTTATGCTAAAAGAAACAATAAAAATATCATTAAAGTTGCTGTTTGCAATACATGTAAAAATGAAAAAACATGTCACTATCCTCCTATATTAGCTTATATTTTTTCTTAAATATATAATGTTTCTATGATATATAAAAAATACTTCTTATCTGTTTTCATAAATTGCTTACTAGATTGAACTGTGAATGCAAATCTTTGCACCAACTATTATTATCTTGAAAGAACAATTAACTTATCATATAAAAACAGAGCTCTTTAATTATATTCTGAATTAATTAGATATTATTTAAATATTAATGAACTACCAAACTAGTTTTATGATTCTTTAATTTCTGCATCTGAATTCCTTAAACAAACAAATCCTCTTATTCATAAATATGCATCAGATATAACTATCAGACATCTGATTTTAACAACACCTATCTATATTTTTTTATCTTTAGTCTGACAATTACTTCAAACTATTACTTATTTTATCAACATGTACTATAATAATGTTTCTGATAGTTTATCTTATTTCTCTAATTTAGTTGTCTTAAATAATTCTTTTTTCTAAGAAATTTATAACAAAGATATGCATTACAGTTATCTATTAGCTGGTTAAATAGTTAGTACTAATAAACCTTTTATATTTAATAACTCTTATATAGAAGCTTTAATGTTTTTTGACCATTTTTTAATAATCAAGAATATTATACAAATATAAGACAATTGTTAAATTTTTAACCTTCAGTTGATAGTTATAAAAATATATAAAATTATATCTACTTTGTCCTGATTTATATTTTTATCTTCATTGATATTGGCCTCATTAGTCATATTTAAATTTAGAAAAAAAAAGAAATTTCAAAATCAATATTGCATACTATCAATCTAAAATATTAATTGTGCATATCACTTAACAAGAGCAGATTTAATCACTGAAAGTTTTTATAACTTCTAAGACATTATAAATGAAATAAAAACTATTATAATTTTTTCAAGTCTTCGAACAGCTACCTCTTTTTTTAATAAAAACAATATCAAGTTAATACTATGATAAATTCTTATAATTTACCTTACATTTTTTATATAATGACTATAGTTAAAGATAAATAGCCTTATTTATATGAAATACTAAAACAAACTGACAATGCTAATACACTATCTAATCATTTATTACATGCTTACCTATTTTATTATAACTATATAACTAATATTTATAATAAATTTTGAAAGCATTTATCTCTTTCTAGATAAGATAAATAAAAGCATTTTTTTAAACATAATAAATTTCAAAACTGCAAAACTATATATATTGTTATAGGTGAAAGCCTTCTTAATTTTCACACTATAACGACGACACAGCACAGGGAATCCCTTACGGGTATA